TGTCAGAAAAGGATTATGTTTCCCCAAGTGGTAGTTTGAGGTTTCATCTCTCTTCCTTATCTTTGTATACATTTGACACATAATTGGTTTTAATATTTTCTGAGTGAAATACAACTGGATAATGAAGTGACACATTTTTCTTTCTTGTGAATTGGATTTTTCATTATGACTAGCTCTAAGGTGAGGAGATGATCTGGATTACTTTGTCAAACAACTGCCTGATAACTAAATGAAGATCTACATGATGTGATTTTTACAATCCTGTGAAGACCCCATCTGACTTCCTTCTTTGACATTCCTACTTGCTGCTGCCTAAATTTTTACTATTAGAAATTAATTCCTCTGATATGAGGTTATATGCCTTGTGAAACACAAATATCCTGAGAGAGATAGCACGTAAACCTTATCAACCGTTTTCACTTTAATGGATCTGTCATATCTGTTCTTGACAGGGAGCATATTTTAATAGACAGGATGATGAACATATATATGAAGTTATATATTAGCCCCTTGTGGAGAAAATGTACTAGTTGGGATGTACAGGAGTGTAGAGAAAAGAGTAAGAGCAGAGAAAGAAGGAGGTTCCTAAATTGTCATACTCCTTGACCCAATAATTCTATTTCCAAGTGGCCAACCTAAAGAAATAACAGTAAACATGAAACAGAGATATTATTACAACAGTATTATTACAACAAAATAAAATGAAAGCAATCTAGATGTCTAATGATAAGAGTATGGATAAATACATATGATATACCTTTAGGATGCAGTGATCCCGCCATTAAAATTATGCTTCTGAAGAATTTTTAATACCATCAGATAACAGTCCAAGCAAAATTGTACATGTTTGTATTTTATATATAGAAACATATACCATGCATATGTAGTATGATCTCAAATATCTAAAAGATGGTCATGCATTTATAGTATAGTCTGAAATATCTGAGAGATAAATGTGTGTAGAACAAACTGACTATGTGTGTTTATGCGTATGTGTTTGTATTAATAGCAGTGGGATTGGGGGTTTTATTTTCTTTGATAATTTTCTGTATTTTCCAGATTGAAAATAAATGTGAATTGTTAGAGAAAATATTATTTTCAATATTTATTGACATTGTGTAAAAGGGGAGATTCCTTCAGATATGATAGTTTTTCCTATGGCTGCTAGGCAGGCATTGATAGCTATGTACTTCACGGATGTGACTGGACCTTTTGAGAACAGTTACGATTCCTTCATAAAAGCAGTGTCTAATTCATTAGTAAAACAACTGCATTGGTTTCTGAAAAAATTTGGGTATTTGACTAAACTTGAATCTGTGGGACAGTTTTTCAGAATTGAATCTTGTAAGATATTCCTTATGCCTCTAAGACATGTTCTTATAATGGAGGGGTTGCGGCTATGAGAGAAAGAGACTTGAAGAACATTTAAGTTCATCAACAAAGAAGCCATTGTTATATTCATTGCATTTAAAAATCTGGCTTCCCAGCACTTGGCTGAGATGACTGAAGGCTGATGATACTGTAATTTGGCATCTAGTGAGATGCAGTTACTCTTTTAGGCCACTTAGCTCCAGTAAAGTTCAATTTAAATTGTGAAACAGTGAAGAAATATAAAAGTTCCAATCAAAAGCATAATTCTCAGTCACGCTGGCCATAATATGCTCCTGAAAGACGTTTTCTTTGACTGAATCTCTGCTAAAGTGTACACATGGGGCAGAATACCAGGAAATCTCAATAGAAAGGCCTGGCATTCACTTTTATATTTTTTCCTTTCTCATGGGGATGCTGTATTTCTGTTGGGGTCATTTATGTTTAATTAAATGATAATTTCTGGATTTACTAGAAATGGCTGGCTGCTAAATTAAATTATAACTCAGTAAAACAATCTTTCCAACTGCTTTCCTTCGTTGTTATTTAATATAAAAAATGTAGCACCTGATCTTTGGTATGATTTACTCTTTTTAAACATAGAGAGTTTCATTTAATGTTAAAAGACAAAGCTGGCATCTTATTTTATTCTGTAGCTTATAATCCATGAATATCATTTATTTTAATCCTCAAATTATTCTAGATTTGATCAGTAGAAAAATGTGTCTCTGTGTGTGTGTATGTGTATATATATATATATATATATATATACACATACACACATCTGTATTTATATATTTGTAGATATAGATACAGATATAGATGATATAGATATAGATACAGATATGGATCAATGGGTCTTGACCAGGGGATATTTTGCCCACCATGGGACATTTGGCAGTGTCTCATGATATTTCTGGTTTTCACAACTCAGGATCAGCAGGAGGGGCAATCAGGGTTCTACTGGCATCTTGTGGGTTGAGGCCACAGATGCTGCTAAACATCCTAAAGTGTATCTGCAGTGTATTAGGCTTATCTAATGCAGATATCTAGAATTATCTGGCCCAGCATATCAATAGTGTCGAGGTTGAAAACCCTAATTTTGGGGGAATAGATGGGCATTTAGCATTTTGGATGTGCCAGGGCTGTGCTAGGTGCTGAGCATATAAAAGCATATCAGTAGCCTCACCGTATTTAGTGTCCTACTTTATCTTTTTCTGTGTAACAAAGTATCCCTAAACTTTGTGGATTAAAATGATTTATTGTTTCTCATGATTCCATGGGTTTGGCCGAGATCACTAGACACTTTTTCTGCTCCATGTAATATTGTTGAGTTAGCTATGTCATTATATTTAGCTGGGAGCTTGGATTGAAGGTCCAAGATGGCCTTACTTAACATGTCATGCCGTTGGTGCTGGCTGTTGGCTGGGGCCTGTCTTCCTCCCAGGGCCTCTCATGCCCCAAGGCCTCTCACTATGTGGTCTCTCCAATAGGAAAGGCTAAGCTTCTTTACATAGTTGTTGGCTTCCAAGAGCGTGAAAATGGAAGCTACATGCCTTTGTAAGGCCTTGTTAAAAAGTCACATGACATTATTTCTGTCACATTCCATGGGCCAAAGCAAATTAGCAGGCCAGCTCAGATTCAGGGGACAGAGAACAAGGCTCTGCCTCTAGATGTGAGGAATGACATAGGAACACAGGGATGGGAGTGATTCCTGTAGCCATTCTTGAAAACAATCTACCACGCTCACTGTCCATTAGCTTTGTGGTCAGAAGAACAAGGTTTTAGAGCCTTAAGTATCCTTTTCTATCATGTGATTCAGCCCCTGCTAGGTTCTAAATGCTTGTGTCCCTTCAAATTCATATGTTGAAACCTGATCACCAATATGATTGTATTAAGAGGTGGAGCCTTTCGGGACGTTATTAGCTTGTGAGGGCTCTGCCTTCATGAATGGGATTAGCATCCTTGTGTAACAGACCCTAGGGAAGCTCCTTCTACCATGTGAAGAAATAGTCAGAAGGTGCCATCTAAACCAGGAAGTGGGCCCTCACCAGACACTGAATCTGCTGGTGCCTCGATCCTGGACTTTCCAGCTGCCAGAACGATGAGAAATGAAATTCTGTTTATAAGTTACTCAATCTGTGTTATTTTGTTACAGCAGCCTAAAGGGACTAGTATAACCCCCTTAACTTCACAGATACCAAGCTAAGACCTAGGAGGTCATGCCACAGTCCTAGGCTGTCAAATCACTTCCCTAGCCTAGCACACTTATGGAGGAGCCAGGCTCAGCCTTCCTATCCCTGGGCTGGACGCCAGAGGCCTTCAGTTAATTTGGTCTCAATGACCAGCATTAACCAGCATTGACCAGTCATATCTTCCCCATCCTTGCCTCATATATACATTCTAAGCATGAAATGATGCTGGATTTTACTACAATGAAAAATGGCTTCATAAACCCCACCAGCTGCTATAAAATGAAATCAAACTCATTCATGTAACATGTCACGGTAGCCTGTTATGCTACGGTACATTTTTCTAAAATCCACAGACAATTACTGCAATATAAAATGTGTTTGTTTTGAAATGGAGTAGGTACGCCATAAATTATTTTTTAAACATTTTTTTGAGACAGAGTTTTGCTCGTCACCCAGGCTGGAGTGCATTGGCGGGGTCTCAGCTCACTACAATCTCCGCCTCCTGGGTTCAAGCGATTCTTCTGCCTCAGTCTCCCATGTAGCTGGGATTACAGGTGCCTGCCACCATACCCAGCTAAATTTTGTATTTTTAGTAGAGACGGGGTTTCACCATGTTGGCCAGGCTGGTTTTGAACTCCTGACCTCAAGTAATCCACTTGCCTCGGCCTCCCAAAGTGCTGGGATTGCAGGTGTGAGCCGTTGCACCTGGCCATAAATTTTTAATTTTCCTTAGTATAACCACAAACCTGAAAATAATTAACACTTTTCCCCAGATCATTAGGATACTCTTTTGGATTATTTCAAGCCTGCTGGGTGGAGGATAGATTTATTTTATATTGAAGACAATATTTTAAATGAAATACAGTTCTGAGATTTCCCCAACACTTCTGGGGGATATCTGACTCTTACTGAGGATTAAGGTAAATGACGAGTGATATTCTTAGATTTAGTACTCCTTGAAGACCATAAATTTCCAAAGAAGAGCTAGCTGTTCTCCAAGAGAAAAAAAAAATGCATTAGATTTCTGCTGTATTGACTAAATTGTAAATGGAATAAAAATTTCTTATTCTAATAGCATTTACTATATTTGTAGTTTAATAAGTAACATTTATTCTAGATAGTTTGGAAAAGACATAAGCATACAAGGAGAAAATAAAGATCACTTGTAATTTCGCCTTTTAGTCAAAACTACTCCTAACATTTTTTGTGTTTGTTTTTGCCACGAGAGATAGATCAATAAATCTAGAGACTGGTGTGGAGAAAGTGATGTAGATATACATAAAGGTATTCCTTTTTTAAAAAATCGGATTATACTGAAATAATTTTGCAACCAGATTTTTTTGGGGGAGCCTAAATATAGTAAGAACATTTTCCCATGTTATTAAGTATCCTTCTACCATGCAGGGAAAGTTAAGTCTTTTTCCCTTATTTTGACAGGACAGTGACATTGAAGCATTGACCAGGTGTTTGGAAAATGTCCTGGGTTGTCCTTCTCTAGGTGAGTAAGTTCCTTCAGACTTAAAATATATTGACAGCTACTGATTCTGTTGGAATATCCAAGAAATTAAAAACTTGGAAGAAGTCTTACAGGCATTTAAGTATGATATCCTAGTATAACAGATGAAGAAACTGAGGCCAATAAAAGTTGAATGTCTGACCCGAAGGCCAGGAAACTCAAAGAAAAATTGCTTACTAATATTGTAAGTAACTCTTAGTCTCCAAGGATGAAATACTTGAAATTCAGTGTCCCTTATAATCAAATGGTAGCCTAGTAGTGCGTAATAGGTTTTGCAGTTTCTGGAAAAAGGAATCTCCCTACCTAACTTGTCCTGTAGAAGGAGAGTACATTCAGTCAAGCTGAGAGGACCATCACTCTGAAGGTCAGTCAGTTATTTGAAGATATTTGGTCTGAAAAACAAAACCAAAACTTTTTTAGCATTGTCAGTCTCAATAAGTAGGATTGCTGTGCGTCAGGGATAAAGCCCTATTTCTTAGTTTCTTCTGTTTTTTTTTTTTTTTTAAATCTGAAAAGCCTGACTGTGATACATTCTCACTAGGTGACTAGAGAACTGTCATACAGAGTAATCTTACTAGATGAAAAGGGCTGAGACATTTTTTTCTTCTAAATTTGATTACAGGTTTTTATTTTAAAATTTTTAACTGTAAACCAAAAGCAGTTTCTTCAAAGGGAATGGCAGGAGTAAAGATAATTAAGTTTTCAGGTGGGCAAACATTCATTATTTTATTAGGAGATTTATGCACAAATTATAGCGTTTTTCTGGCTTATTCCACATCTCCATATGGGAAACCTCAGTCATAACATAGCTCTTTAATTTTCTCACCTGACGATCACCCTGTGATCTGTTTAATTGTATATAAAATACACTTATTTGATACATTTAACATTTAACAAGTACATTTAACATCCAACAAGTACATTTAACATCCAAGCATGACTTAAGACCATGAAGGCTTTTTCATCTCTGGACCTCAGATTAGATGACAAATTTTCAATCTAGGCTCCTTGGAGACTTCCAGGATGACGGGTTGGGAGTACTAAGCAGCATAAGAACAGAAGCTGTGTCTATACGGCTTATCTCTGTTTTTCTAGAATCTAACACTATGTCTGGTGCAGAAGAGGCCCTTAAAAATATTTTAAAATATTTATTGTCGAAGGTGGTGGCTCACACCTGTAATCCCAACATTTTGAGAAGCTGAGGTCAGAGGATCACTTGAGGCCAGGAGTTTGAGGCCAGTCTGGGCAGCATAGCAAGACCCTGTCTCTAAACAAATTTTTAAAAATTCCGCCAGGCATGATAGCATGTGCCTAGAATCCTAACTCTGTGGGATGCTGAGACCAGAGGATTGCTTGAGCCCAAGAGTTTCAGGTTGCAGTGAGGTGTGTTTATACCACTGTACTTCAGCCTGGGTGCCAGACTGAGACCCTATCTCAAAAATATGTATTATTGTTACTGTTTCTATAAAGTAAAGGGGTATAATGCAGTTTTCTTATTCGGGTATATTGCATAGTGCTAAAGTCTGAGCTTTTAGTGTAATCATCACCTGAAGAGTGTACACTATACCCATTAAGTAATTTTTTATCCCTCATCTCTCTCCCAGCTTCCCACTTTTCTGAGTCTCTAATGTCTATTAATCGACACTCTATATACATATGTACACATTACTTAGCTCCGGCTTATAAGTGAGAACACTGGTATTTGACTTTCTGTTTCTGAATTGTTTCACTTATGATAATGGCCTCCATTTCTTTCCATGTTGCTGCAAAAGACATGATTTTATTCTTTTTCTTGTGGCTGAATAGTATTCCATAGTGTGTGTGTGTGTGTGTGTTTATCCAGTCATCTGTTGATGGACACTTAGGTTGGTTCCATATCTTTGCTGTTGTGAATAGTGCTGCAATAAACATAAAAGTGCAGGTATCTTTTTGATATAATGATCTTTTCCTTTGGGTGTATACCCAGCAGTGGGATTGCCGAATTGAATGATATTTCTTTGAGAAATCGCCATACTGTTTTTTATACAGGGTATACAAATTTATATTCCTACCAACAAGGTATAAACTTTCTTTTTTCTCTACATCCTCATCAACATCTGTTATTTTTTGTCTTTTTAGTAATAGCCATTCTGACTGGTGTAAGATGATATCTTCTTGTGGTTTTAATTTGCATTTCTGTGATTAGTGATGTTGAACATTTTTAAATTTTTTTGGGACATTCATATGTCTTCTTTTAAAAAATGTCTGTTCTTGCATTTCCTTTGCCTACTATTTATTTGAGTTACGTGTGTGTGTGTGTGTGTGTGTGTGTGTGTGTGTGTGTGTAATGGCTGTGTTAGTTCCTTATAAATTCTGGATATTAGTCCCTGCCAGATTCATAGTTTGCAAATATTTTCTCCTATTCTGCAAATCGTCTGCTTATGCTCTTGATTTGTTTCTTTTGCTGTGCACAAACATTTTAGTTTAATTACGTCCCATTTGTCTATTTTTGGTTTTGTTGCTTGCACTCTTGTAGTCTTAGTCGTGAATTCTTTGCATAGACCAATGTCCAGAAGAGTTTTCCCTAGGTTTTCTTTAAAAAAAAATTTTTTATTCCAATAGGTTTTTGGGGACCAGGTGGTGTTTGGCCACATGAATAAGTTCTTTAGTAGCGATTTCTGAGATTTGGATGCACCCATCACCCCAGCAGTGAATACTTTATCCAATGTGTAGTCTTTTATCCCTCACCACACCCCCGCCCTTTCCCCCAAGTCCCTAAAGTTCAGATGTATCACTCTTACGCCTTCATGTCCTCATAGCTTAGCTCCTACATGAGTGAGAACATAGGCTGTTTGTTTTTCCATTCCTGAGCTACTTCACTTACTAAAGTCTCCGATGCCATCCAGGTTGCTACAAATGCTATTATTTCATTCCTTTTCATGGCTGAATAGTATTCCATGGTGTGTGCACCACATGTGTATGTGTATCACATTTTCTTTATCCACTTGTTGATTAATGGACATTTGGGCTGGTTCCATATTTTTGCATTTGCAAATTTTGCTACTGTAAACATGCACATGCAAGTATCTTTTTCATATAATTACTTACTTCCCTCTAGGTAGATACCTAGTAATGGGATTGCTGAATCAAATAGATCTACTTTTAGTTTTTTTAAGGAATCTTCATACTGTTTTCCGTAGTGGTTGTACTAGTTTACATTCCCATCAACAGCATAAAAGTGTTCCCTTTTTACTGCATCCATGCCAACATCTTTATTTCCTGACTTTTAAAATTCTGGCCGTTTTTGCAGGAGTGAGGTGGTATCACATTATGGTTTTCATTTGCGTCTCCCTGATACTTAGTGATGTTGAGCAATTTTCCATATGCTTGTTGGCAATTTGTATATCTTCATTTGAGAATTGTCTACTTATGTCCTTAGCTCACTTTTTGATAGGATTTTTATTTGTTTGTTTCTTGCTGATTTGAGTTCCTTGTAGATTGTGGATATTAGTCCTTTGTTGGATGTATAGATTATAGAGGCTTTCTTCCATTCTGTGGGTTGTTAACTCTGCTGATTATTTCTTTTGCTATGCAGAAGCTTTTTAGTTTAATTAAGTCCCACATATCTATCTTTGTTTTTGATGCATTTGCTTTCAGGTTCTTGGTAATGAAGTCTTTGACTAAGCCAATGTCTGCAAGGGTTTTCCTGATGTTATCTTCTAGAATCTTTGTGGTTTGGGGTATTAGATTTAAGTCTTTGATTCATCTTGAGTTGACTTTTGTATAAGGTGAGAGATGAGGATCCAGTTTCATTCTGCATGTGGTTTGCTAATGATCCTAGCAGCATTTGTTGAATAGGGTGTCCTGTCCTTTTCCTAGTTTATGTTTTTGTTTGCTTTGTTGATCAGTTAGCTATAAGTATTTGGCTTTATTTCTGGGTCCTCTATTCTGTTCTATTGGTCTATGTGCCTGTTTTTATACCAGTACCGTGCTGTTTTGGTGACTATGGCCTTATAGTATAGCTTGAAATCAGGTAATGTGATGCCTTCAGATTTATTCTTTTTGCTTAGTCTTGCTTTGGCTATGTGGGCTCTTTTTTTTTGTTCCATATGAAGTTTACGATTTTTTTTAGTTCTGTGAAGAATGATGGTGGTATTTGATGGGAATTGCATTGGATTTGTAGATTGCTTTTGGCAGTATGGCAATTTTCACAATATTGATTCTGCCCATCCACGAGCATGGGAGTGTTTCCATTTGTTTGTGTCATCTATGATTTCTTTCATCAGTGTTTTGTAGTTTTCATGGTAGAGATTTTTCACTTACTTGGTTACTTGTATTCCTTGGGTTGCTTTTTTTTTTTTTTTTTTTTTTTTTTNTTTTGTGACTTCTTCAATTCTTTGCATTGATGTTTTATAGTTTTCATTGTAGGCACGTTTTATTTCTTTAAGTTTATTCCTAGGTATTTTATTTTTTTTGTAGCTTTTGTAAATGGAATTGCCTTCTTGATTTGGTTCTGAATGTGATTGTGATTGGTGTACAGAAATGCCATAGACTTTGCTATGTTGATTTTGTATCCTGAAATTTTACTTAATTTGTTCATCTAATCTAACAGTTTTTTGGATAAGTCTAGCATTTTCCAGGTATAAGATCATATGGTCAGCAAACAGATCATTTGAATTTCTTTTTTCCAATGTGGGTGCTATTTATTTTTTTTCTCTTGCCTGGTTGCTCTGGGTAGGACTTCCAGTACTATGTTGAATAGAAGTGATGAAAGTGGGCATTATTGACTTGTACCAGGTTAAGGGGAATTGCTTTCAACTTTTCCCCATTTAGTATGATGTTGGCTGTAGATTTGTCATATGTGGCCTTTATTATTTTGAGGTAGGTTTCTTCTATGCCTCATTTGTAGAGGGTTTTTATCATGATAGAATGCTGACTTTTTTCAAATGCTTTTTCTGCATCTATATAGATGATCTAGTTCTTAAAAATTTTGGGTACATAGT